TGGAGCTTGCCGGGTTTGGCCCGGTTCGAGGGGTTGACAGCTTGGCACGTGGGGCACGAACGAATGTATGCCTTAACGTCGGCGAGTAAGGAAGGTCAGTAGAAGTAGCGGGARATGGTGTCGAAGGTTTTCTGGAAACCGAGATGTCCTGCGGTCTTGGCGTCGTGGTGCTCGGCCAAGAGCTGAGTACGGAGGCCTCGTGCGTCGGGGATGCAAAGTCGGCGAGTGCCTTTGGTATCGATGTAGAGGAGATTGTTGTGGAGGGAGTAGTCGGGAACTGAGTCAAGATCGCGGAGTTTGTTGTAAATGGTGGCGAAGTCTGAGCAGGAGAGATAGCCTTGGGTGTATTGATGATGAAGTGATGGAAGGAGTTGAATATGAGTCATGGCGGCGTAGACTTTCTCGGGGGGCTTGTGGTCGGTCGTCGCGAGAGGGCATCGGCAACGCGGTTGCTTTTGCCGGGGGTATGGCAAATGGTGAACTGGGCAAGGAAGTCCAGCCAGCGGGCTTGGCGTGGAGTGATATCTTTCTTGGAGAGGATGGAGGAGACGATGGTGTTGTCAGTGCGGATGGTGAAGTATTGCCCGTCGAGGTACGGGCGCCAGACTGTGAGGGCGTGAATCACGGCGAGGAGTTCCTTCTCGTTGGAGGGGTAATTCATCTCCGCGGGAAGGAGCTTCTTGCTTGCGAAGGCGATGGGGTATTCGCCAGGTGGAGCCTCGGGGTGAGTGGGCAAGTCCTTGATGGAGGGGGTCTAGACGGTGTCACGGGGGAAATGTTGGGACAGTACGGCTCCGATGGCGAAGTCGTAGGCGTCAGTGGTGACATAGAAATGGCGAGTGGGGTCGGCGATCTTGAGGACAGGGGCCGTGGTGATGGTTTGCTTGAGTAAGTCGAAAGCTTGTTGGCGGCGATCGTTCCAATGGAAAGGCTCGTCCTTGCGGGTGAGTTCGTGGGGAGGGTAAGAGATCTCGGAAAAGTTGCGAATGAACGGGCGGTAATAGTTGGCAAGGCCAAGGAAGGAGAGAGAGGGAGTCGGCGCGTTGCATGCGTCAGGCCGTGCAACGCGCCGGCTCTCTCTCTCTTTCTCTCTGTGTCCCCCAGACCGCAACGCGCAGCGACTTGGAACTCGTGACTTTCATTTTTTTCCTTTCTTTTTGTTCCTTCTAGTTTTTTTTTTTTTGTTTTTTTTTTTTTTTCCCCCTTACCGGTCCCCCACCCACCGACCACCGGAAGTCGCGGCGCGTATACGGCTGCCCAAAAAAATAGCAGGCCGAGGTACTGGTGGTTTAAACTGGCTGATGGGTACCGGCTGATGAGAGTGAACTCTGGCGCGATTGGCGTTGGGTAGTGCTAGTTCACCACCTCGACGACGGAGACTGGGATTCTTGCGGGGGCAAAGAATGTCAGGGTGATGGTGGTGCTCGGCCCCCGCGGAGAAGAGGCTCTCTGAAGTTCTTCACGACGACGGAGCTGGGAAGGACGAAGGTGATTGGGAAGGACGAAGCTGGTAGTGGATGTAATTGGTGCTGAAATTTCGGCAGGTACCGGCCACTGGCCGCTAACTTCACCCAGATCAGTCTGCGTTTCTTCCCTTCGATGATGGAGGCAGGATTGTTTTGCGGGGCTATTTTTCCAAAAAAAAGGTTGAGTGGGATGAATAGATGGTTGGATATCAAGCGTCCTACTAGTGAGGGGGCTAGCTTCTAGGATGGAAATAGGGTACAGCAGCAGTGGAGATGGTGGCTCTGCTGCAGTAGGTCTTGCCGGAGTAAGGTTAAGAGAATATGATGGGGGGGGTCTCTGAGTTGTTTTCTGAATTTTGCCTATTTTGAAGCTTCTGTAGTGATTTTCTCAGTACATCAAATTCTTCTTAGCCCCGGGATCCTAAACTTTCGAAATTCTTTCAAAATTCTATGTCAACTTTCATATGGGACGCTGGGCCCCGGTTCCCAACACGTGCTGCTCCCCACGAATAGATTGGAGCCTTGTTCCCGGAAAAAAAAAAAAAAAAAAAAAAAGTGTGTGTTCAAGAGACACCTGCAAGACACCCTAACACACAGCACAAGCAAAATTCATCTGGCCGTACGTAAGCTGCGTCGCACCTGCAAAGGAGAGGGCATCAGCAGGCGTAGCAATCTGGCTCCCTACCTCCTTCAAACTCAAACCGCCGACTGTTGACCACGATAGGCAGCAACAAAGGTGGTTTAGTCTTAAGGTGGCATATGAAGAGGATGGGTTTATTGGTCTGTGTATATGCACCCAATGACCCGACAAGATCCAATGGTTAACTAATAAATACTGGACTTTCCCCTCCCCCCCACAACATAGACAAGGATACACCCCAGCCCAAGTAACCACAATCGACATTAACAACGACCCTTTGTGGCCCAATATGATCAACCTCTGGAGGCGGTGCGGACCAAAGCCAAAACAACCTCCCAACAGGTGGCATGATGTATGGCGCCAGCCTCTTTTCTTAAACCCTTACATCCTCGACGAGGCAGGCACCCTCTTCAAGTTAACAGCAATTTCACCATGGCTCACATGGGCCAAGAGAAGAGTCTTCACGGTAGGGGACCTGTGGGACCCGACAAGAGCCGACTGGGGCACGGCGAACCCGCTGCTCCAAAATTTGAAACACACCAAGAACGTGGAAAACAAAATGCTCCAACTGAGGAAGCACTCCCCTTGGCCTGGAAGCTGGTCCTCGCAAAGGGTCCTACAGTTCTGCCGGATGACTGGGTAACAAGATATGCAGATCTTCCCCTCCCGCGCATCGTACATAAGGGGAGACAATATGACGAAGGGTGTTGTACTCTAGATGCCCACAAACCTCAGGTGTCGGGGGTCAGGTTCTCGAAACTGACAAGGAACGATGACCTGGATCCAACTGAAATGTGGGGAGGGCTAATGGTCATTAGAGTGGTAGGACACGCAGACAACGGCTTCTTCGTGTACGAGCCCGCAACCCCGATTGCCAAGCTGCTGTTTGATCCGGCCGAGTGGGAATGGCCTGGCACAAAGCCCATGCGAGTGTGGGAGTACACGGTGAAAGGGGCCTACAGAGCCTCAAGCTTGGATCTGCCAATCAATCAAGCGGTATCACAAAGATGGGCACGGGACTCGTCGATGGACCTGAAGCTACTGGATCACCTACCATGGGCCAAATATTCTAAGATCACGCCTACCAATCTCAGATCCCTGCAGTGGCAGATTCTGCACTGTTGCCTCCACACCCCGGATTGGCTCGTGTCAAGAACGGACTTGGAGCAAAAGGGGATATTGTCTCCCATTTGAGCATATTGTGGAAGAGCGTCACTGCCCACTAGAGCAACAATGGAACATTGCCTGCTGGCATGCCCGATGGTTAAGAAACTGTGGCAGTGGTGGGATGCAGCATTCCACTCTACAGAGCCTCAAGAGATCTGCCAATCAATCAAGCGATATCAGAAAGATGGGCACGGGACTCGTCGATGGATCTGAAGCTACTGGATCACCTACCATGGGCCACATATTCTAAGATCATGCCTACCAATCTCAGATCCCTGCAGTGGCAGATTCTGCACCGTTCTCCCCACCCCGGATTGGCTCGTGTCAAGAACGGACTTGGAGCAAAAGGGGCTACTGTCTCCCATTTGCACATATTGTGGAAGAGTGTCACTGCCCACCTGAGCCAGGGCAACAATCGAACATTGCCTGTTAGCATGCCCGATGGTTAAGCAATTGTGCCAGTGGTGGGATGTAGCCTTCCACTCTCTCACAGACACACATATCCCATGGGAATATGTTGCTGTGGCAGTGGTGGGATGCAGCCTTCCACTCTCTCACAGACACACATATCCCATGGGGCGTGTTGCTGGGCAAGACTATTGGCCCAATGGTTCCCTTTTGCAACTAACGTCTTCTCTTACATGAGACTGCAGTCCTTATGTTCCCCTGGAGAGCCATGTGCTCTTTTGAAAGAAAACACCATAGATTTGGACTGCAGCAAGCACAACAGGCGGTCGAAGACGTCATCAGGTCCCACACACAAGAAGCCTGGAAATCCCTTAAACATTCCGAGAACAGAAAGACCACGGACTCAGACAAACTATGATTGACAATTATTGCCAGCTATGGCAGGACCTAAATAAGATTTACTCAGAATTGGCCTCTATGTTATGATCCTGGCCAATTTCACATCCATCAGATAGTACAATGTTGTCCAATTGCAGAAAGAAATGAATGAACTTGAGAGGAGAGAGAGGATTAGGAGGAGAAAAAGAAGTAAGAAAGAAGAAGAAAATGATGAACACCAGGGCAAATGACAAGGCTCTTCTTCTTCGCCCAACAATCTCCTCCTCCTTATCTCCCCCTTCTCTTATTCATACAAGAAATAATAATACAATGTTGAATGACTGATCCATAATCAATGTTCGAGTCCCTCTTCTACTGCAGGTATCACTTGAGGTCCACCATAGCCATGGCCGCCTCCCCCACTCTTCACTCTCATAGGCCGAGGCTATGGCGGACTACCAGGCCTTGCCCAGATGCCCAAAGGACAACCCAAAGCAGCTATGGCTGCTCTAGCTCAGGCCGCCATGCCCAACCCTACCTTGAAGCTTCTTGGTGTGGCTCTCCCCAGTTGGGGACTCCCTGCTGCAGCGCCCACCAAGGTGATGAAGATGGCTGCCACCATAGCCAGGTAAGTACCCCTGGCGCTCCTTCCCCTTCCTTCCTTCTTCCTCCCTCGTGTCCTTCTCCTTCCTCCCCAGCAGCGCTGCTCCAGCATAGCGCTGCTCCAACCAGCGCTCCACCAGTGTGTCGCCAAACTTGCACACCGAAAAAAAGGCCGGACTCTCCGCCCAGCTGGAAGATATAGTGGCCTGCTTTGCCTCTTGGGCGGTGACTTCCAGGCCGCTCGGCCTTCCAAGCAACCGGTACCTCCTCCCTTTCAGAGGGAAACATCATTGTAAACTCTGATATTGCCCGTACAGGCCCTAGACCCAGACTGGTTGGACTGGTATCCACCTAGACCTAACCTACAACTACTGGGCCTCTAAAAATGCCACTTTTGTCTTCTTCTGCTCGGCCTCCAGTACCCTCACATCTACTCCCTTTAGGGTGCCGCACCGGCCTACCCGCTACTTGAGTGTTTTTCCTGCTGCATCCCTCAATGTCACGGCCACAGGTAAGTACCGGCCCTGAGGGCACAATGAACGAGCAAGTGCCCTTGAGGGCCACACGCGCACTCAAGCCAACCAGCACTCAGACAGGCAAGGCCACACACACACTCAAGCCAACCAGCACTCAGACAGGCATGCAGTCCAGCAAGCGTGCACACACAGACTAGGTAGCAAGCGGGAAACTCAGCAGGGCATTCAGTCTATGGGCAAAACTCATAAATCAACCGTGTGTTTCAGTCCATGTTTGGACGGGTCATCACACTACTCCCCCCTCAAGAGCGAGGTCCCTTCGAGCGAGTAACTCATTTTGAGTTCTCGACAAACGCATCGTAAGCAAGCAAGGCAAAGAGGTTCCTAGAGTACTCTGTTGCAATGAGTCTTGCAAAGATCTTAGGTATAGCGTTAGTGGCGATTTGTCGCTCGTAGGCTTTGACAACATGCGGTGCGCTGCGTAGCAGTTCCTGTTTGGAGATCCAGTACTGATCGTCTAATGGGTGATACATGAAGTGAACTTAGTACTGTCTGTTGCATCCTTTCCCTACGTGCTGTTTAATTTTGTCTATCTCATGCCCGCCTTTGATCGCACGAGGCATCATGTCTTCGCGATAGTCGAACGTCTTAGCATCACGGTGGAGGTACGGTTTCGATGCATGGAACACTGGGTATGTGAGCAGATGGGCTGGCACATCAACTACGTACGAAGAGCCAAAGTGGTCTTCGCCAATCACATCCATAACTTCCCACGGTCCGTAATAGAGTGGGAGAAGTTTGCGAGAGACCTCTTCTTCTTCTGAGAATTTAGACATCTTGACCCAGACATAGCTTCCTACCTGAATGTCCGACGGTCGGCGCCCCTTGTTCGCGTGATGGATCATGGCATGTTGTCGCTTGGTCATGGCTGCAATGGCAACCTTAAGCAAGCGATCATACTTGGCCCTGAAACCAGGCCTGCCGGGTGTTAAGCCAGCTGGCTGCTCAGGGAAAAGGTAGGAGAGCGGATTACGGATCTGCCAACCGAGATGCAGCCTGTTAGGTGCCATGCCGATGGTAGAATGGATGGAGTTGTTGTACAACCCCCTAACGGAATACAACTCTTCATCCCATGTTTCCTGATCCGGGATAATCAAAGCGCGGAGAAGTTGGAACACAGTCTGGTTGATTTCTTCAGCCACACCGTTGGCTTCAGGGTGTCGGCCAGATGTCATACACAGCCTGATCCCCAGATGAGACGTGAAGTCCTTCCATTCAGTACTAATGAAGCGCGGGTCCCGATCGCTTACGAGAGTCTTCGGGGTCCTGAACTGCAGAATGTACTTCTGTTGGAACTCACGAATCACTAATTCTGTTGGGGCGTGCGGCGGCAAAGGGATCAAATTGAGAAGCTTAGAGAATCGGTCAACAATCACCATGACTTGTGAGTAGTCGTTCTTACTTACCTTTCCCATGTCGGTGAAATCAACGGAGACGGACTCCCCGGGACCATCGGGAATGGGAAGGGGTGCGAGTAGCCCCATGGGCTTTTGTCTGCATGGTTTGATCCGTTGACAGACTTGACACTCAGCCACAAACTTTTCAGCAGTCCCTTTCATGCCAGGCCAATCAAACTGTCGCAACAAATTTGCATACGTCTTTGCCATGCCGAAGTATCCGCTCCGGCCATGAGCCAAATCCAGAAAGTGCGTGTGGAGAGGCTCATGGTTGGACACACACAAACGGTCGTGGTTCCCGTAGCAACGAAAAATCAGTCCTCCATACTCGTGAAAATCAGGCTGACTGCTAGGGTCAGCCCGTAGCCGCTCAAGAATGGGGCTAAGCCCCGGATCCTGGGTTGTGTGCTCTACGAGCTCCTCCTTCAGTTTCTTCTGGAGGTCGTAGGATTTGACAGGGCAAGTCATGTACTCTAGGTGGCGAGACAAATCATCAGCTACTCGGTTCTAACAACCCTTTTTGTGTCTTAACTTGAAATCAAAAATGTCAATTTCATGGAACCAGCGAAGCAAGGTAGGGGACAAGGTAGTTTGTTGTTTGATCCACTTCAGAGTCTCATGATCTGAGAAGACTTTGAAGTGGCGTCCCAAAAGATAGTGTTTCCTGTGGTCCAGCGCCATACACAAAGTATAGAGCTCGCGCATGTAGGTGGAAGTGGCTACCTTTACGCTGGGCATGCGTTTGTTGTAGTACTCAAGCGGCCGCAAGCCATCGCCGTCGTCTTGCTGCAGCACTGCGCCGATTCCATACTGGCTCGCATCCGTAGTAACTACGAATGTCAGTTTGGGATCTGCAATGCGGAGTACTGGGTAACTTACACATACCCCCTTCTTGAGTCTACCCCGCTAGTCATTTTCAGTAATCCGGAGGTCGACCCAAGGTTTAGTGGTCGCATCCTCCGGTTTTGGTGGGATCTTGACTCCCTTGGGAAGTTGGACATAGTTCTTCCTTGCACTCCGATTCGGTCCCTTTGCATTGGTAATCTTTTTAAAGGCAGTAAATTTTTCTTCTTCTTTGTTCGCATCAGTCTCATGGGCTGAAGAACGAGTTGTATCAGAGTCCTGTTCTTGGTCGTCACCAAGAGTGGGGTCATCTGCATCGGCTTCTTCTTCGGCCTCCAGCAGGTCATGCATAGCAAAACGGTTGCTGCCTTTGCACCGCCTGTCGCCCATGGGCTTTTTGCTGCCTGCTGTGGTGACGAGGTCTACAGCCTCAAGACTGACTATGTCCTTCATTAGAGTGAACCAGTCAGTGTACCCAATTTAGTCCTTGCCTAGGCGATTAGTAAAGTTGGTGGGAACCGCGCCTTTGACCACATCCAAGCAAGATTGAGAAGTCAGTTCCAATCCGGGTGTAGCCAACATCTTGCTAAGATAAGTTTGCAGGCTTTTCATGGAGTCGGTCCACTTGCTTCGCTTGATTTTGTCAAGCTGGATTCTTGCCCTTGCTGCAGGATGTGGATCCAAGTATTGCGAAATGAGGAGTTCCTCGAGGGAGGCAACTGGGGTGGTCTTAAGCCACCTTGTTAGTTCTATTTTGGGAATCCCAGCTCGTGTAGCTTGGAACTCTAAGAAGCCCCGCACGGCCGGCTCAACATTCATTCCCATGATCACGGACTGGGTTTCAGGTTGAGTCCCCAGAACCTCGAAGTATGCCCTCATGGAGCTGATCCAGGATCGATGTCTTCTTTGCCGTCGTACTTAGACGGTATTTGAAATGCCTTTCGGTCCACATAGGGACCGGCGTAGCTGGGACCAGCACCTGCTGGTTCCAATCTTGGGGTTGCGGCAGTTGCAGAATTTCTAGCCTCGTTGCTTGTCACAGCAACAACGAAATTTGTGTTTGTTGCAGGTCCCGAGGGGGTTGCCATCACATTCAAGGAAGAAGATACAGTAAGAGAGGCAAAGGTAGTTTCAATTGCAGTTTCAGATCCAGGGGGTAGAGGAAGAGGGTTGGCCACTTGGGCTTGTTGCAGCTCAGCCACCTCCTTTGTCAATCTGTGGTACTTGCGGGCCATTTCAGTCAGATCCTCTTGAAGTGTTCGCAACTTTGCGAAGACTTCAGCGATCTGAGTGGTATGATCTTCAAGATTCCTGACTTGAACAATTGCGGTGAGTATAGACTGCAACTGTTTCCCACACTGCTCCTCAGTAAGTGAGGGAACAATCTCTAGGACGGCCACCTGACTTTTCAGCAATGACTCCTTCCTCTCCTTCTCTGCCTCCTGTTCCCTTTTGGTTGCACTATCTAAGAGTGCTTGTAGATACGGTTTTTCCGCATCACTGGCTGCATCTAACAAGGCCTACCATTGCACTGAAGTTAGCTGAGCCATATTTGGACCCTTAGTATTGACAGGTGGGTCAGAGAGTCGCCAATCAGCAAAAGAATCAATGAGACTCTCAAGAGGCTCCCCTTCTCACTTGGACGAACACTCCTTTTCCCAGTTCTTGCCCACTCCAGACGGTCACTTTCCTCCTCTCCTTTCTCTCTCTCCCCACTCTCTCTCTCTTCTTTCCGGCGGCGGGTCTCCACGGGCATCGGAAATGAACTCAGAAAAAAACAGACTTGAAGCTCAGAGAAGAGAAGGTAGAAGTCCTAGCCGGAGTTGCATTTCATTTGGACGTAAGGAGCAGCAAACCAAAGAAGAACAAACAAGTTCAAACGAGAGGTCTGATCCAGCGACCCAGTCTGATCAGACTGCATACGAGGTCCTCTCGAGTCCAGTCTGACCAGCTCTGTGATCGTACAGCAAATCAGACAACGAGTGACTAAATGCAACAATGGAGAATTGAGTGGTGTACAGGGTGCGAGTCAAGCCTCGGACAGTGCAACCAAAAGACATGTGAAACGTCTCAACCAAGATCCCCTCGGCAATGGGTGTCCTAACCATGAATAAAGAACTTCGTAACACAGTCAGAAGACAATGGGTTAATGCCTAACTGATTTGGGCCCAAAAGGGCTTTTCTTGTTTGGGCCCGGTCCCATTGGGTTCCAGAGGTCCCACGTAGGTCGCGAACAGGTCCCAACCAAGAGAAGTCCCTCCTGGACTTAGTTCAGTTTCTACTGTACCGAAAAACGAAGTTTCAACTTCCGGCAGAACCTACAGACTACAACCGTTCAGAGATGAAAATAGAAAGCACTGTAGAAAGACTCGGCATTTCGATCAAGACAAGATACTTCATTTTCCATCCATCAGGTGAGTAGGTAGATCACATGCATTCAGTCACACAATCAAGACCATAGAGGAGTAGGAAAAGAAACCCAGAGTACCCCAACAGGACAATCAATACCATGCACACATTCATGGGCATCCCGTAGGTGCACGACACTTACCTGAGTGGCCTTGAGCTTCGGGATGAATAGGACTCACCCCCCTCTCATGTGATCCTCCTGACCCCTCTAACGCTACCCCTACACTAGTGTCCTATCTCATAGGAGGGTCTGACTCCAACACCCAAGTGCAACGTCGGATCCCCCGTCGATGCTGAAGAACGAAGTAGCAACTTGCAGTCCGTAGAATCGTGTAGATGCTGAGTGGCCGCTGACCCTCAAGCTCGCCTACTTGAGGGCAGCCCTTAAGTTAAGTGTCTCCCTTGAATCAGATTCCAGGTGCCAGTGCCTCTCACTGTCGCCTCTCTCAAATTGCCACATGAAGCCTCCTCGAAATGTCTCGCCACCGTAATCTCACTCTCAAGCAACCTGGTTAGGTTCAACGTCGACCCTCCGTGACCTAACCAGGTGGGGCAGCTTCCCTCAACCATGCTGCCCCTCTTCCCTTCACAAACCAACCCTAACCCTATGTGGTGCCCTCAACCACTTACGTTAGGGTTAGGGCAGCAGAGTCAACTCTCACCAGCAAGCAGAATCCGCTCTGATACCGATGTTATGATCCTGACCAATTTCGAGATACACATCCATCAGATAGTACAATGTCGTCCAATTGCAGAAAGAAATGAATGAACTTGAGAGGAGAGAGAGGATTAGGAGAAGAAGAAGAAGTAAGAAAAAAGAAGAAGATGATGTACACCAGCATAGGCAAATGACAAGGCTCTTCTTCTTCACCCAACAATCTCCTCCCCTTATCTCCCCCTTCTCTTATTCATACAAGAAATAATAATACAATGTTGAATGGCTGATCCAGAATCAATGTCCGAGTCCCTCTTCTACTGCAGGTATCACTTGAGGTCCACCATAGCCATGGCCACCTCCCCCACTCTTCACTCTCCTAGGCCGAGGCTATGGTGGACTACTAGGCCTTGCCCAGATGCCCAAAGGACAACCCAAAGCAGCTATGGCTGCTCTCGCTCAGGCCGCCATGCCCAACCCTGCCTTGAAGCTTCTTGGTGTGGCTCTCCCCAGTTGGGGACTCCCTGCTGCAGCGCCCACCAAGGTGATGAAGATGGCTGCCACCATAGCCAGGTAAGTACCCCTGGCGCTCCTCCCCCTTCCTTCCTTCTTCCTCCCTCGTGTCCTTCTCCTTCCTCCCCAGCAGCGCTGCTCCAGCATAGTGCTGCTCCCACCAGCGCTCCACCAGTGTGTCGCCAAACTTGCACACCGAAAAAGAGGCCGGACTCTCCGCCCAGCCGGAAGATATAGCGGCCTGCTTTGCCTCTTGGGCGGTGACTTCCAGGCCGCTCAGCCTTCCAAGCAACCGGTACCTCCTCCCTTTCGGAGGGAAACATCATTGCAGACTCTGATATTGCCCGTACAGGCCCTAGACCCAGACTGGTTGGACTGGTATCCACCTAGACCTAACCTACAACTACTGGGCCTGAAAATGCCACTTTTGTCTTCTTCTGCTCGGCCTCCAGTACCAGCACATCTACCCCTTCAGGGTGCGGTACCGGCCTACCCGCTACTTGAGTGTTTTTCCTGCTGCAATCCCTCAATGTCACGGCCACAGGTAAGTACCGGCCCTGAGGGCCCAATGAACGAGCGAGTGCCCTTGCGGGCCACACACACACTCAAGCCAACCAGCACTCAGACAGGCAAGGCCACACACACACTCAAGCCAACCGGCACTCAGACAGGCATGCAGTCCAGCAAGCGTGCACACACAGACTTAGTAGTAGCAAGCGGGAAACTCAGCAGGGCATTCAGTCCATGGGGAAAACTCAGAAATCAGCTTTGTGTTTCAGTCCA